GGAAATTAATCATGCAGGAAATGATTAACCACAGCGAGCTGTCTGTCTGCCTCTGACTCAATATGTTTAAGAGGGGGTGCCTCAAAGCAGCTCAAAATGGCTGACTGGATGCAAGCAGTGCACTTGCAGGCCAGTTGTTCGCACTGTCCATCCCACGTTAAATGTCATATTTCTTTTCAGCACTTGTAATGCTCCTGAAGTGATTTCCAAAGTACCGAATTAAGTCGGAAATGCCCAGAGTTTCTGTTTCACCGAGTTCAGTTTAGTGCCACTTTTGCTTGTTGCTCTTTAGGGGTTACTTCGTGGAGCGAGGGGCTCTTTGCAGAATGCATCTTATGCTGTCTCCTATACTTTGTTTTTTGAATTAAATTAGTTTTTATCATGATGTGTTGCATATCATAATATTTTAATACCATTTCTGATAGAGGCTGCAGGGTGTGCCTGGTAGCTTGCAAAAATCACAACTTCCTTATGCGATGATACGATTTACCTGGATTTAGGTGGGCATCTCGTTTGCTAACGGCTGGGGCGGTGTCCTTAAAAGGCAGCAGATATGCAGGCTGCGTGCACGGCCCTCTGGAGAAGGTTGCCCGTGATCTGCAGGGCGGCTGTCCTGGTCGGGGGCTGTAGCTGAGGGGGCACAGAGCGAGCGTGAGGACTGCGGTGGGGTGCCGGCTCCCAGCCATGGACCTCCGGAGGAAACAGCGGTGTGCACGGCGCTGCTGGCGCCCGCCCCACAGCGGGAGAGCAGCTGCTGCCACTGCCAGCTGTGGAAATCCTTCTCTCTCGCCGACAATACAGAGCTTTGTGTTGGGGGCTCCGGGGCCGATGTGTGCGGGTTAGTTACCGTAATCCTTTCTGCCGCACCACCAATGCTCATCTAGATATAATGTTTCCTTATAGCTTCTTAAAAGCTGTGATAATGTATACTACTGCCTAGAAAATATGCAAGGACATGTGTCCTGGGTTTCAAAGTATCGACATGCCTTCAGCCTCTGTCCTTTGGGCTCCTTTTCAACACCCTGCAGCACCGACTGTTATAAGCGACTTGGTTGTTAACAGATTTGGTAGGTAACATTTATTACTGGGTGGATCGGTTACTATTTCAGGTATTTTACAGTGTCAGCTGTTAGCAATTGAACATAATGTCCATGTCTTAAATCCAGCTCTTTCCCACTGACCAAGAGTCCATTGCTGAAGTGTAGGACAGTAACCAAAGCTTTCCTCTAATTGCAGAGTTATGCTTAACATCTTAGGACATCTCTAGGCTCTCCACAAAACAGCGATCCTGCGAATTAGTGAGGAACAAAGCAGCTGCAGAATTCAATTTCAACGTTGTGCTGACTCAGCTGCTTTGCTTCTGCAGCTGGTGAGGTGCTGCTCATCCCAAGGGTCAGCCCCAGCGCTGCGCTGTGTGGGCAAGGCCCCTGGTCGCTGCGTCTCTTCAGTACGTTATTATTCTGCCTACAGGCTCATAGTGATCAAATTTAATAACCCAGAGAGCACCTTTTTTTTTTCTTTTTTTTTTTTGTTTGCTTACAAAAAGTCAGACAAAGAAATAGATTGTACAAAATCTAACAATCGAACGGCGAGTTAGAGCTTCAAAGACAGAGGTGCCATTTATTGCTGCAAAGTTTCAGCTTAAGTTTCTGAAATTCTCATTCTCAGCAGCAGGAGCAGAGTCAGAGAGTGACAAAAGTAAGAGTGAAGCAGCGTTGTAACTTACATTTTACACTAACATTTTACAAACTGGGGTGTTTCACTGGCTCTGTAAGTGTATGCATTATATGTTTGTGTGTGGGCACTCAGGTTTCTGAGTCATGCCATATGATCTCTTTTCTGATGGCTCCTGAGGGAAATGTGCGCTCTGGAACATCATGAGTAAACAACTCTGCAGGATGCTCGCGTTAAACTTCAAGCCAGTTCTGCCTGAGATTGGCCTATTACAGAAGCTTGTCCCGTGCTTCCAAAATGCCGTTTTCCAGACCCTCCTGGTAACTGCTGTGAGGGCTACAGGACTTGTTCAGCAGTAGGTAAATGCTAAGCTCACCAGTGTGCAGCTGCGTACCTAATTTCCACTCCTGTCCTGTTGAGAAAGCCCTTCAGGTACCAGAAGAGGTACTAGCTAGTGTGCAGCTGGTGACTACAGGTACATCAAAGGATGTCGCCCCTCTGGAAGAT